TGAGAAATGGCAGCAAGCTTCTTCCTGTTAAAGAAGTTAAAACAAAAATCCAATGTTCAAGTGATCACATGGTAAAACAGTCAAACACGTACAGTTCAGACATTAAAAACATCTGGAATGATTCCTCTGTATCCTCGACTTGAGATCTAAAAAAGGCCCTTAATTCCGATCTCGTTTTCATAAAAAATCTCATAAAATCACCCGTTTAATGTCAGTATCTCACACTGCTCGCCTCCATCAGCAGAGTTAAAAAACAATACCAATTATTGGCAAAAATTATGTCAGCATTAGTGCAAATCATCAATCTGGAGTCTTACATTTTTAAAAAACTGCATCAAGTGTTACAATCTCTCAATGTGAACGTGATAACACGTCACAGTAACGCGACTCTCCGGTCAGAGCACATCTCCGGGCACAGTGCTCCGCACGTGTAACACTTCCCTCGTCAACGTCCCTTCTTTTTAAAACAAAAACAAAAAAACTGCGACTTTCCGAACAGGTGTAACTCATTCACCCCGCTTCAGTCCATTTAAATTTAGTAGAAATATTAAAAACATGGAGAGATTGGTATTGGTACCTTTCATCAGTTTAAAACAGCCTGGGCTCGCCAGCAGACGGCCACAGACTCGTGTTCAGACGGGGCTCGAGGAGAAAGGGGGCAGTTCGGGACATCAGGACTCATGTGGTAAAGCGTCAAAAAAAAGCTCCCGACAGAGCCGAGCTGTGTCCTCTGGAGAGTAGACCGTGAAGCCGATGGTCCGTGGGTCGTTGAAAATTTCATAGTCATTTCCTCCCTGCAGAGAGAAAAGAAAAACCATTAGATTAGTGCCGCCTGGTTTGGCTTGTTTTGTTCTCTCTGAGCAAAACAAACCATAAAAAACAGATAAATCTTCATTTGGCTGAGGCCTGATTATTCTGGGACCTTTGGACTGAGATTGCAAAACAACTGAATGGACACTTAACAAGCAGGAGTCTTTCCAGGGTTTCTCAGAAGTGCAGTTGTTTCTCTTCACATCTAAACCCTTTTACATTCTCATAGAGAAAACTAAGTTATACGCCTTGCGTTATTTCTGTCAAATATAGTAAAAATGAATTTTGATCAAAACTTATCAAACTGATTCAAAGACAGATTTTGGTCCAAATTAACATGACAGCATCAGACAGTTGCTGAAAATTTGTCAGATGGTACGAGGGATGAACATAGTCAGATAGGCTGATGTGTTTAAATGATGCTCAGTTAGTACACACACCATTACACCAGCAGCAGCTTGAACCACTGTCATAAGGCAGGATGGATTTCATGCTGTTTATAACAAATCTTCTGCTTCTGTAGCCTGCTTGATATTTTCTATTTTTCTGTGTAAACGCTCACATTAGGCCATCTGACATCAACAACGACGGCACGTTCAAATTTTCTTAGGTACAGGTCAGAATTTCCATTCTGACCTGTACCTAATGAAGTGGCCAGTACATGTAGAATCTAATGCTATTAATCCAGGAAGTCACTTTGTCAAATTTCTGCACTTCTTCTAGATATGCAATTGCTCATAAATGAAAACATCTAGGAAAAACATAAACAGGCTTACTGAAACTGCAAAACTGCTTGGTGCCAATTAAACATCTTATATAAAAGTGAAAGCAAGTCAGATTTAAACCTTTAGACCAGCATTCTTTCTAACGGCCAGAAGGGGGAGGACTTCTCTGTTAGCTAAAACAAGTCAGACTGGATAGAAATCATAAACACTTCCCTAGCAAGTGATAGTTTCAAGTCATTTTTAAGTCATTCCCTAGCAAGTGATAGTTTCAAGTCATTTTTAATAGAATAAACATTCATTTTATAAATTATGGTCATCATAGGAAAACAAGAGGTACAACAGGGCCTTCCTTAGAGAGTGGTTACACTGTGGCTGATGAGTTGTGACCATGTGAAGAGTTTTTCACAATTGTCTTCAACATGCCAAAGCACAAAATGTGAAAAATGAAAGCCTGACTGGCCAATCAATGAGCTATTTCACAATCACATACAGTTGGGGTGTTGTAGTCTCCAGAACATTCCAGCTTTTTAACCGTTTATGACTGAACTTACATCTGAGGTCTCATTCCCAAAAAAGTAGATGGCATCCAAGCCTTCCCTCTCCAGCACCTCTAAACAGAGTCTCTTGTCCCAGCCCTCTGGGAAAATGTCAAAGCTGATGAGGCCACCTAAGAGGAGATAATGACAAGAAACATGGCTGTCATTATAATGACTCAGACTTTAAATGTACACTGTGTGTTTCGCGAATGATAGCTTCAAAGAATAGCTTGTATTATAAAGTAAAAAAAATTAACTTTTAGCTTCTTACTGACAACATACAGCAGTGTTTTTCTAGGAACTTTGTTGGCAGAGGAAACACCATACTAGGAAAAGGAATGTGTCCCCAAAACACACTTGTGTACGTTAATCTTTGTCGAAACAGCGCTGAGCACTTTTCTGTGTTTAAAGCGTCACAGAAAAGTAAGCAGAGATATTATCATGGCTGCAGGGTGATTTATGTTGCAGTTTTTTTTAACTCTAAATGTAACAGAAGAAGCTCTGTCGTTGCTCTGTGCTGACTTGAATGACCCCGGTGACATTTAAACTGTGAAATGTGGGTCAAACATCTCGCTCGGAGGCCTTTAGCAGGACCTCTTTCTCTCAACCTTCCCCCATCATACCTTACATTTTTGTGCCATTTTGTCTTTCAGTTAAAGCCTTTAGAGCTCAAAAACAACAACAAAAGCCGAGAAGCTTCCAACCAATCAGAGCGCTACTTCCCTCACACACCCTCTGTCCTAAACACCTTCAACCTCAGACTTTAAACACGGCAGTTCTTCAGTCACATCTGTAATCAACCCACCCCCCTCGACAGGCATGCTTCACCCTCATCAACTGCCCCAGATGACTGCTGACACTGCACAGATGTACACATCTGACCTTTATCAAAACTTACTCAACTGCTTCAGCTAAATAGTTATACATCCACCTCTTAATCACCTTCCTCTTTAAACCACAGGCATGATTTAATTGAAGAAAACACAGGGTGTCGTTTACCTCGTGTCAAAGGTTTGTGTGCAGAGTGTCCCTTACATTCTGTACTCTCAATGCAGATTGGATAGAGTGTCACTTAGTTATATAACTCCTATCGCAGAGATCAGCTAATATCAGCAGCCATTCGCAAGAAGATAAACTCTGAGCAAAACAATAATAAATCACCACCGCTGCACATCCTCTGGATTGACTGACCTGTTTCTTTAGGTGTCATTAATAAAACACACACAGCTGCTTTAAACAAAAGAGAATACAACTATATGCTCAGTATCTTTCTATTAATTTATCTGGGGAAGTAAGATCTAATCCCTTCTTTTGCTGATAGATGCCGAGGATGTTCACAAGCAGGTTTGCCGTGGGTAAACAAGGCCAGCTGTCTCGCATGTGGGCAGCCTTCATGCATCACCAGCTGAAGTTCACACCTCACGGAGCACGTAAGCAAACATCAAGTACTTGATTCACAGCAACAGCGAGTGCGTGTAATAGTTAACCAAGGCCTCGGATCAACAGCACAAGGTCCAAGACACTGCATACAGGTGGGAGACAGAGGGGCCTCTTTGTAAACTGAGATAAGACACAGCAGGCAGATAGATGTGGTTTGTCATTAAACTACATGGTATTGAGCTGAATACTGACTTACCTGAACATGAAAACAACATAAAAACAAAGGCGGTCTTACTGGTCTGACAAACCAGAAGAGTGAGTCGTTTAAAATAGTTCAAAGCCTGAAAGAACCAGTGTTAGGCTGATGATGGTGAACTGATTTGGCTGCTTCAGGTATGAAATAATAGCTGATGTTTTGATGATAACTGAAATGATTACCAAGACAAATAAATTACAATCAGAGTGATAAAGTATCAGTTGCATACTATTTTAATCATTGCTTCAAGAGGTGTGTCCCAGTAATGTCAGCTTTCTTGCATGAAGATTTACAGAGAGCTTTATTATATTTGTCAGTGGGTGTGAAGATGCTTTCTCACCTTTAGTAAACCGTAGTCCTTTTCCAGCAAACTCCTTTTTCAGAGCAGCAACAAATTTCTCTCTAATCTTCTCTCTCTGTGGAGGGAATGACAACCCAGTTAGCTCGATGGCAAAAACAAAGTAAAAGTGCTTTTGCAATGTAAAAGTTCGTCAAGTTCACAGAAACCGCTGCAGTAGCCATGTCATTTTCTCTATGAATACAGCAGAAAATGCAGTAATTTAAATGTTAGCAGGTAACTGAAGAGTTAACCTTCGACTTCCTCCATATCGCCTGTCTCTGTGAGCCATCAATGGGCAGCTTGTTAAGCGGTCCTGAAAGCTCGCCATTGTTTAACGTCCTTTGTCTTTGTAACCGAGACAGTAACACGACTTGCTGTAACTCTCAGTGACTAATATTTGATGTTTAATTTTAAGGTTCATGTGTCAGGACATAATAAAATCAATCATCTGGTCCTTCAGCTTCTAAAATTATTTAAATCTAAAACTAAATCAAATGCAGTGTGTGAAAAACTTCGTGCACCCCATGAGTCAGTAGATTGTAGTAACGCTTTTAGCAGCAATAACTCGAAGAGCTGTGGAGGAATTCAGTCCGACTTGTTTTTGCAACATTGATTCAGTTCATTGCGATTTGTGGATATTTGTTTATGCACAGCTCCACTGCATTGTAACACCTTCATTCTTTTCTTTTTCAGACGTTCTGTTGTAGATTTGATGATGTGCTTGGGACCGTTGCCCTGTTGCATGACCCAATTTGGACCAAGCTTTAGCTTTTAAACAGATGGCTTCGCATTTGAGTCTAGAATACTTTGGTATACAGAGGAGTTAATGGTGAACTCAATATCTGAGTCTAAGTCCTGTGAGTGTAAATCAAAGCTTAATTATCACTGTGCTTGGTAGAAGGATCAGCAGACAGCCAGAGATTGTTTTTTAGACTTAAGGAGGTTGCTGTCCTATTTTTACTCATGCAGAAATACTGATCCCTTATGTTGATCTGAATTAGCAGAGAGCTTTGTCAAGGTAAGCGTGTTCAGTGTTGGATGAGTTTTCAGTTCAGCTGATTAAATGCGAGTTTGCTCGGTTAATGTTATCTCTAGAAAGCAGTGCATGTTCACAGTATTCAGTCTTGTTCACAGGTATTCCCAGAATGTCTCAATTTAATTTATAAAATATAAATATTTACCTGTCCTTGTATCCTTATCAGTACAATATTGCCACACAAATTATCATAATGCTATGCTTTATCGATTTTTTCCACCGCCGCTAGTGTTTAATGGTTGGTCTAAGGTGTTCGTGCTGATATGCTGTGTTTGGTTTTGGCCAAACATCCTAATCTTGGTCTCGTCTGTCAAAAGGACTTTGTCCCGGAAGTCAGATGTTATTCAGATGTTTTTTTTACAATGTTTTATTGCTTTTTTCCCCTTTTTGTGTAGCAAAGAAATGGCAGCTTAACTGCACTGCATAAGTTTTGCTGCTACTAAAAGTTTTGCTGCAGGGACAATAAATAAATACACTGGTGTTTGCCTCTGAATAAAGTACTTCTGCCAATGCAGTTTACCTTGTCGATTTCAGAAAATTCAATTCGCTCCTCTGGCGTGCAGCTCCGACCGATGGGGGAGATGTTGATCATTCCGTTCCTGAACTCAATAAATGTACCCCTGCGGCAGAAAGGCATGGTGAGGACATAATACTTGACTTGTGAAAAAAAAACTTTAAACATATTGCTATAGCTTCATATTTGATGAGAAATCACAACACAATTGTGTTCTCTTGCTTCAGTGCCTCAGGTCTTTGCTAAAATACCTCACATTCCTGCAAAGCTGGAATTCAGGTTTGTCTTTCTGCCTTAGGTTAAAATAGCTTGAAGCCTAATTCTTGTGAGCTCTTTTTACCATCTCACCTTTTCTTTGGCAGTTTGATGAGTCCCATGTAACTGAGGCAGAAGTTGATCAGGTCCTGCAGCAGCTCCTCCCCGATCTGGTTTTGAATGGCCTGCAGGGATTAAAATACATGAAAAGACCAGGGTAAACAAATGGAGTAAAACTAAGTTTTACAACGTGGTTTATGACAGCAAATTACTTTCTTTATGCTTTTGTGCAATCTTCCTTTCATTACAATTCTACTTGTATTCTTGTTACTGTTATTTTTTGAATCAGGACATAAAAACGTGTATCTGAGTATAGGAGCACTTACATGTTTTGAGAGGAGTTTCCCATCTTTGTACTGCACTGTCCCATTTTCAGCAAACACATAATCAAACTTGTGTATCACTGCAAGAAAAGAGACGGGTCAAACGTACCTAAATGTGCTCATCTATTTCTCTTTAACCTACATACTAAATTTGGAGTAGCTCCTTCGCTAATCTGAAGACATACCTGCTATATTTACCCAACAGCAGATTAAAGCGTATGCAACGCTGGCTAGATGAGTTTAATCCTCCTGACTTTCACACTCACTCTGCGCTAAGACAATGATGAGGAAGCTCTGTAGCTGAGCCTGTGTTAAAGCTGCTTTTATAACTTTAACAGAGGCAAAAGCCAGTAAAACAAAAGCATGCAGAACTGCATAAAAACATGTTAGTTACAACAGCTGTATCAAATTTCAAATACGCAACGTTAATATTACCTGTGACATTGTAACACAAAGTAAGTGAAGGTTCACCTTTGGCACACTTGGCAGGGTAAATGAAACTGCCGAGCTCTTTTTAGGCACAATGCAGCTGCATTCCAGCAGTAACCTCATATTGACTGACAGACAGGTTATCAGCCTGCCTGCTGCAGCTGGGTGTGAACTCAGCTGAGAGGCTGCTGGTGCAATGCCCGTGTTACAATGTGTGCTTTGGCTGCTGGTTTGGGCAATCACAAGATCATAAAGTGGAGTGAACATACATGCAACACACATGAAGTTAATGACTGGCTGAACCAGCTTGCGCTGTTATTTATTTATGGCAGGTCTCGCTTTTAGAAGGATGCTTGCTTTAGTTTAATTTGCGGCTTAAATACAAAATTATTTCCAGAATTAATCATAACCTCAGCTCTACTCCCTGCAGCCTGTGTCAGGGCATGTTGGGTGATGGAGCTTGCTGAATCACAAGCGTCTATGGCTGAGACAGGAAGAGATCTACTCACCATCATCACCCTCCCCAAGCTGCTCTGCAATCTTCGAGTAGTCCGACCCTCCCACGATGCCGATCTTCACCTTCTTACGCAGAGTTTGGAAGAACTCATCCAGCTCCGGGTCGATTTTCTACAAACAGGAAAAACACACTTTAATTATCACTTTATGTTTTAATGACACAAACACACCTAAACACACACACACACATATCATCATCAACAACAAGCTCTCTATCTTGCAAAGAGGTGTAGTGTCATTTATTTGGAGCAGATTTAAAGTTTCCCAATGTAAGGAGGAAAACTCCCCGAACTGCACTCCAAGGAACCACATTATGCAATATCCGGGCACTGACGCGTCCTGCACACACACACACACCAGTGATCCTGCATGAAACTGAGCATAGAAAGTCAAAGACAAAAGAACAAGTGAGTGTGCATAAATCAAACGCTCCAGATACAAAAATCAAAGGCCCTATTAAACCTTACATAACTGGTAACAAAAATGGTTCTTTTAAATTTCCTGCAATAAGCCAGCTGAGCAATGCATTACCAGATATTCTGCACAGCAACATGTGTACCTTACTGAGAGGCCTTGCAGCTGCATGGCGAAGCCTGCCTTCAGTACCTTATGATAGAAGGACTTTATGATGCACAGTTGATGTTGTGAAAGGTTAAAAACTTTGTAATTAAATTGTAAAAAACACATTGGAGTGAAACCTTCTGGTTGACAGTCATGAGTTTATTGCATCTTAAAGTGCACAGTGTCGCCCTGCACTTTTTTTCTTTGGGGGGGGGGGTCTTTTTCTCCGAGATGCAACTATTCACATCACAGCCCTGTGATTGGTCAGTTGCAGAGATCGCCATGGGGCACCATTAATATAACATTGAAGATATACACCCATGTGCATCCCCGCAGACCCGTACCCGGGTATGTGTATAGGAGGAGCAAAGAGTGCAAAAGGAAAGTAAACACTGTGAGAAAGAGCACGTGAAGTCATGAGGACACCATGTTCTCCTCTGATGTTCTCTCTACAGTAAGGTACCTCTCATCAGAGGTCAATGATGAGGGCAGAAGAGGAGAGAGCTGTCATGAAATCTGATCATAACTAATAACAATAATAATAAGATTATCGATGGGAAGCGAGCTCACCTCTCTCGGTGGCGTCAGAGTGCCGTCCACATCAAACAGGCAGAGGACGTTTCTGTCCGGAGAGAAGCCCTGTGCTTTCTCCATGTCTTCTGCTCCCTCACTGTTCTTATCTAGAAATTTTCAGCAGAAATGCTACTGCAAGGTCCACTCTCGTGTAAAGAAGCGCATAAAAATTTACATAATGGAGAAAAAATGCATGCGCTATCAGCTGCAGTGCAAAAACCAACAAAATAAAATATAAAAATGAGCTTCCAGCTTTATAAATAAGGATGATTATCTCTCTCAGTGCGAGGCTCTTCTCTCCCGTATCTTTCTTCTGAGCCGCAGTCCTGCTGGTTTGTTTTGGGTCCGCTCAGCTCAGTGAAACAGCTCTGCTCACACTTCACCACACGCTGCGTGTCGTACGTGTTGGATTTTGATGTTTCTGTTCTGCAGCGCTCATTAAATCACCAGCCAATCACAGCCAGGGGGCATACGTGACGTCAGGAGGCGGGGCAGGTTAATTTACTCGCCAGTCAACGGCCGATGGCCTTTCACCTACAAGCGATGAGCAGGAGCTAGGAGTGGTTGGAATAAGGAGGGTGTTGTATGTTTGACACTGAGTAAAGCTTTGTTTATGAATGAGAAGAGTCTGAATAACAGTGCTGACTGCAATTGCGGAAGCCCAGCGTGTCTGCTAATGGCAAGACTCAGCAGGATATCATATGATGCAGGTTTTTCTAGAAAAGTAAGCCACAGTATTTCTAAAATAGATCCAGATGAATTAATTCTCAAGTTCCTCCAGAGTTTTGTGTTTTTGCAGTGATTCAGAATTATGATCCAGGGACTTTTTCACAATGCAGCTATAGCCCTTCCTGTTTCGTCTCATCCTGTATTAACATGCATTTAAAATTTATCTTTGGAATAGAAATTTAAGGCTTTCCATATTAGATCTTTGCATTCTATTTTCTAATTATTATTTATTTATTTATTTATTTTTACCAGAAATAATGTACATTAATAAACATTTCTGTAAATTAGCCACAGGTTAGTTTAAACTAAATTTCATCTGTAGTTCATGGCTACATATTTAAAGCACCTAATCAGTGAAGAATGTATGTAACAAGATTTTCAAAGTTAAGTAAGCTGTACTTTTGTAAAATTTTCTAAAACATTTTCAGTGTTCTACTATATAGAGACTGAAGCCAGACTGTGACCATGTAGTAATACAATAATTAATATTGTATTAAAAATGTGTTAATTCTGTTCTTATAACCCTATAATAGCAAATAGCATTTTCTTTATATTCATGTCCTCAGGCTTAAACCCTTAAACCCAGGTTTTGATTTGGTCATGGTCTCCTGACCATGGGCAGTTTTGCTACATTTGTTGCAGTTATGTCTTTAAATATTTTCACAATAGCCTCATTTTGCAGTTTTTCCTCTGTAAAAGACAAATTGGTCACTGTGAGTTCAGTATTTTCATCCTACTATAAAGCCAGTTCTTATATTTAAAATGATGTATTGGGGGATGTGTCTAAAATGTTAAATTAATTCATGCTCTGGACAGCTGGTTGTTTGTGGTCTTCCAAATACCCTTTTCCAAATGGGAAGTTGCAGAGTGCCCTCTGGTGGACAAACTATGCAACATCCGTCATAGCATAGTTGTAGGACAGGGACATTAGTCTCATTTTACATTGTGGTCCACTTTGATCTTAAGCAAGCCAGACCAATTCAGTTCAGTTCAGATCATTTATATCGTGCCAAACACACACAAAGCACCACTAGTAAAATTTCTGTTAATGTACACATTTAATCCCTGAGATATCTTCATAATAGAAAAAGAAGCCTAATTTGAACTGCACATCTCCGTCTTTCTATATGATGAAGAAATGCTGCTCCAGCAAAGAAAGAAATCAGTCAGCATGACTCTGTGGGATTAAGCTGTTCTCAACATGTGTAAAAATGCAGAATAAGATTCTGGGAGCTCATTGCCCAGACTGGGCTGTAAGTATAAATAAGAAGATTTTTATTAATTCACAGAAAAGAAAAATAATAACTTTTCTGTCATTTGATTGTTTTCTATTACTTAATTACTTTGATGTAAGATAAATGTAGCAAAAGCTGTAAAACCTATGAAAATACAGTTAGAAGTCCAAAAATTTTCCAGCGCTATGGAGCGCTAAGGAGCAGGATTGAAGTCTTTGCCAGACTGAAATCTGGCCCTGGGGCCTTATGTTTGACACCCGTGTTGTAGGGCATTTCTCTGACCTTCTCTTTACTTTATAAATATTCATTTTTCTGCTGTTGTAAGTGGGAGTACTGATATATTGGCAAATTGGCTCCACTATTTATATATCGGTTGGATAGTAGAATTTAAGTTATTCTTAGTTAAACCGGTGTTTTTGTAATAGTGAAGATGGAGAAGTTATAGGCTGCGTGCCTGATGGAAAGCTTTATTACATTTTATTTGCGTTTGTGTAATCCAAACAAGGAAAATCAGAATCAAAGACTTACAAACACACCCCCTCAGCGGGAGACGGTCATATAGGAACAAGCATCCCAGAGAAAAGTAAAATGCATCTTCACACACCAGCCAGTGTGGGTAAAATGACAATCTCTCTGACTCAACAGTGTGACCCCCAAACTGGGGGTCCTCCCCGATCCACCAATAAAGCAATTTAAAATAGAGGTGGTCCTAGCTTTTTGGAAAAAACACTGATTAGTAAAGCAATTTCAGAAAGGCAGGCTCTCGCTTTGACCAGTGAGAGAGTGGAGGTGGTCCAGTTTAACCTGATCTCTGTGAAACAGCTGTTTGGGGGTTATGACCACCACCCTCGCTCAAAACCTGCGACCCCGAGTGACCAGAAATGATCTCCTGCCTGACTTACTGGAAAAAGCCCCCTGACTATAACCCCTGGCCGCAATTAGTTATTTTATTACTTAGTTACTTTTAAAAACATACGTAATAAAGCAATAGACCTTTCAGTCCAATTTTCTGCATAATCCATTATTGTGTGGATGCTGTAAAAGGCACCTATTGAGTTCCTGTTTCTCTTTATTCTTTATCCTTTATTATTCTTCAAGTTGCTGCTTTCTTTGCCGCTTAACTACTCCCTCAGTTTTCAGCCAATTTTCACCGTTCAAACTTTAAACTGTTCTGCTCTTTCTGCTAATGCCTGCTTGCTGGGCTGAGCCATGTTTTAGCTCAGTGAGATGAGCTATAGAAAGAAGTTTCCTTCCCACGCAGTGTACAGCAGACACTCATGTTTTTGTCACAATCAAACTGCAAGTAATGTCAGTACTTCCAAGCTTTAAACGCTGCATGGTCGGACAATCCCGCACGCCATATTATCCATTGTTGATTTGCACACGTCTGTTGCTACCACGGACGTCGCACACTCGTACGTCATTGTCATGAAAAACTCTCACAAACAAAATCACGGTTTAGTTACGCAGTGTGCTTATTGGAAAGTAACAGTAATCTAATTACTTTTTTGCAGTAGTAATCCCTTACTTTACTCGTTACTTGAAAAAAATTGAATCAGATTATAGTAACTTGTTACTTGTAACGCGTTACTGCCCATTTCTCCTTACAGTGTACTTGTTTCATTGTTTCCTGCAAAAACCTGACTTGTTGCCTGCAAATTGCATGTAAATACAGGATATTTGCAACCTTATTCGTGGGTCATCTTTTAAAGTGTATTTTGACATGCAAACTCCAGAATATTTACTCTTCTCCACAACTCATCATCGTCATTGAAGCACAGCAGCCACAAGAGGGCAGAAAGAGAAAGCGATAGTAGCAGTCAGAACAGAATATCACAGATTACCTGTGTTAAAATGCAGTATATTTACAAAGCTGTGTGTGAGTGCGCTTGTGTTCATAAGGCACCCATAAGGCACGAGCCTGCAGGCTCTGTTGGGTACGGTGGGCCAAGCCCTGCCAAGCAGCCCCGGGGAGTGAGTCACTACACACCTGAGCTCCCAGTCCCGGACACAGAGAACTCACCAATTCACTCACAGGTGGGGGCATCAGCCGCTGGCAGGGAGTGTGGTGGGGGAAAATAGGCCCCCGCACCTATGGGAGCCTGAGATGTTCCTTGAGAGTTGGAGTCTAAGACCTGACCTGACACATAAACATAGAAAAACAGGCACACACAGACACATGCATTTCCACCCTCATGTACACATATACAAATACACGCACACTTGCCCAACATGGAGTCAAAACGGGTGCACAGACCGTTTTGTGTGCCCACCCAGAGGCCCTATATGTATGTGTCATAAGAGTGTAAATAATGTGAGTGTCTAAGTTGTGCTCAGTTTTATTTTCATTAGGTTTGAAGAAACTTTGTGAGACACAAGTTTTAAACATTGAAAACAGAAATGGACCTAAACTAAAACCTTGAGGCACACCACTGATAAGGAAGGCAGTGAGAATAGTAGTTGGCAGTGGTGTTGGAAAAAGAGATAATAGTCAGATAAGTCTTGAACCAGTTCAGGTCAGTTCCACAAATACAGTAGATCTATATACAAAATTTACCCAAATGTAGAACAAAATTAGCCTCATTTAACCCCACTCACCACTATCTCCCGTATCGGTGTATTGGTTTATTTCTTTTAATATATAACACAGACCAAAATGAAGCTGTGTGAGATTTGTTGTCATCAATTATCAATATTGTAATGCTTTTGCAGTGCCTAAACTGAACTGAACTAACCTAGTTTTTCTTAATAGCATGTGATGAAATGTCCAGTTTTGCAACAAGTCCCAGGTTTAATAGTGGAACCATAAACTACTTGCCTGTTTTATCTTTCACAATAACCATAACCATAACTGCACATGAACCTGAATTTCAATATGAGCGATAAAATTCTGTGGAAAAAAACACTGTGCCACCAAATTGAACTCGCTAGTTATAGGCTCCAGATTTATTAGTATGCTGCCAGTCGATAT